CCTTTCCTTTCCTTTCCTTTCCTTTCCTTTCCTTTCCTTTCCTTTCCTTTCCTTTCCTTTCCTTTCCTTGAATATTAAACATGCGAGGCTGAGAGCATTATGCGGCTTCCCTGGTTTGCTGCCTGCCATTTCTAGTCATAGGCAGCCCGTTTGTGTCTGGGGTTGTGCCCAAGGCTGCCATCCTCAACCTGCAGCCTCTAAACTCTGCGCCACATGACTACATCGAGGAATCCTGTAAATCAGATCCTCTTCCTAAAAACGCAGCATTCCTGAATCACCCGTGCTGGCCAACCACAGGGAACTGCTGAACCCCCCACCCCCACCCGAGCGGTGGGCCACATGAGGGACAGGCCCCCCCCTACACCCCCGAGAACCCCCCTAAAAAGGGGGGGCCTTTATATAGACCCCCCCCCCCCCAAAAAAAAACCCAAAGGAATTGAGCAGCTACCACAAAGGAGAAATCGTTGGGAAAAAGAGACCTGCTGCAGGTGCCGGGGTCATCCGGACGAATCATTAACCAGGAAGGTTTACTTTAGTTACCTCCACCACAATTTTTTCACACACTGAGGAGATTCAATCACAATTATTTTTAGTAAAAAGTATGTTTTGGTTTGATTTAACCCAAACAGATTAATTCTTCAGGGAGAGAGAGATGTAGAATTCATTTTAAATGGAAGAGCCCCTCCAAGCCATCCTCCAGCCAGACTCTTCCCATGTTTATTTCCTTCCAAAGTGGAGCCATCATCTGAGTAGCAACGAAGCAGACAGAACCTTGGAGAAACCACTGGGAGCTCTACCACGTCCAGGTCAATTAATCATTATGGAAGTTTGGAAAGTATTTTTCTGTGCCAAGAATGCAACGATCCATCATTTTTAAGATGTCATTTGTAAAATGTTTACAAGAAGACCTTATTTATGGCCATGATTAGTTCTGGTTTAAAAAAAAAAAGGTAATCTTCTGGACCGTCTCGCTCAAATTCTTGGGACCAAGTTTTGCTTCATTCCCCGCTTTCCAGTCCCCGTCTGCCTATTTACAGGCTGCTGCTGCTGCCCCCACTTTCCATCACCATCGCCTCGTTTTTCTAGACATTGCAGGAACCATGTCGTGGCAGTCCCCAAATTAAAAAGGAACAAACAATGCGGTACCCAAAGAGAGAGGAGGAGGCCTCTGTACTTTTTTCCTCACTTCCTTTGCTGAAATCCAGCAAGGTCCAGATTTTAGGAATGGGATGCCCCTCTGTCCGTGGCCCAAACAGGGAGGCTGGAAGTGGAAAGGGTCCCTCATCTGCAAGGAGCTCCTTGAATGAGAGACTCACTCTCAACTGAGTAACAAGGGGCATTGAACAAATAATCAGATGTGTGACTTCTCAGAAGGCCAATTCAAAGATGTTCGTATTTCCTCAGCTATCTTACAATATTCGTAGTCTTTGCACAGGACACCATTTCCTAGCTCACAATATGGAAAGTGCAAAGCCATAACACCCTAATTTTTAACATTATAAAAATATATCACTGCTAACAAATGTAGCTATCCGAGACATTACTCTGCAATTTATTTATTTTTTTAGGAAGTGGCTGGAGATACTTTGAATGAGCTTGAAAATCACAGAAGAATAACATCAGTCTCATTTTAATAGTTATGTTACAAATAAAATGGGATTGCAATTTTTTTACTACCGGTTCTGTGGGCATGGCTTGCTGGGCATGGCAGGGGAAGGATACTATAAAATCTCCCATCAGAGGTGGGATTTGCCGGTTCTCCGAACTACTCGAAATTTTCGCTACCGGTTCTCCAGAACTGGTCAGATCCTGCTGAATCCCACCTCTGGATTAGATGCAGAACTTACTTTGGTGAATCCAATTTGCTCCTTACGGAATTTTTCCAGAGGTTTGATCAATAAATTACTGGCATTTTGCACCTGTGAGGAAAAAGGTAGATAAATAACAAATAGGCAACAACACTGAACCTTTTAAATCATGCGTTTGGTCTTCCACTGTGCTCCAGAACTAATTCTGAAGTAACTCATTTGAAACTCTGCAGAACTAGAGAAGAACTCGTGGGAAATGAGAGTTCACACGAGCAGAGTTTGGCCTGGTTCTCACCTCAAACTAAGTGTTCTTCTGGATTAGCGTGTTATGTGAGACCAGCCACTTTGGTCTTTTCAAGAAACAGTCTTAAAAGCTAATCATGGAAAGAAGTAACAGAAATCATGATATGGTGTAATGGGCTTTGCGTAATGTGATGTGTGCTCTCAGGAAACCATCCTCTCCAATTTGGAGACCTCAGACCAAAACCATCGGTGGCCAAGAGCTCTATACCAGATCAAGCCTCTCCTTAGAACCTCCAAAATCTTGGACTGCTCAGTGTCCCCTGGAAAGGAGTTTTTTCGAAGTTTTGTGCCCTGAACTCAACTGAAGTAAAAGAAGAGGGGGGGAAACCTGAAAGAAAGAGGACATACAGCTTTGCAAGGGAAATGGACATATTTAGCGTGCACCAGAAATGCAACTGCTTGATTTAAAAACCCCACAAGAAATACCGACAGCAATTAAGATGTTTTAATGAAGGAATCCAATAATTAGGAATGAAATATACAGAATCCCAGAAAACCCATGGAAAGAAGTAACTTGTTAAAATGGGGTAGATCCTTACTGACTCCTGTCCAGCAGGGAATTCTGCAAGGGCCCTATGTTAGAAGTTGCATTATTGTAGCTATTACTCATCTTGTTGTGGCCGGGTTTAGACACCAAACATGGATCATGCAACCTATTAAGTTATGATTGTAGTTGGTCAAATAAACCACCACTGCACAGATTATACCATAAGCCAAGATTTACAGTTCCCAAGATTCAACATGACACAGCATGCTGGGCCCACACCAAGCATCCTTTGGGTCATGCAATGATGGCGCTGAGTCCCATCTTTCTGGATCCTCAACCTACTTCTGACTAAGGAGGAAGAAGAAATGTCCTTACCATCATGGACCTCTCAAGTTCCACCTCTTGGAGCAGCTCAGCAAATTCCTTAAAGGATTCAGCTGAAAAGGAGAGAAAATACTCTAATGAGAAAACATTAATTGAGAGATTAAATAATTGAGAGATTAACCGAGAGCCAGTTTGGTGTAATGGTTAAGGCACCAGACTAGAAAGCAGAAGACTGTGAGTTCAAGTCCCGGTTTAGCTATGAAAGCCAGCTTGGATGCCTTTGGGCCAGTCACTCTCCCTCAGTCCAACCTACCTCACAGAGTTGTGGTTGTGGGAAAAATAGAAAGAGGAGGAAGGTTATGGGAAATGTTTGTTGCCTTGGGTTATTTGTAAAACTAATAAAAGTGGGATACAAATGAAGACTTGACTCTAAGGGATGGGAATATACAGTACTTCCTATTTCCCTCATCTTGCCTTTAGCATCTTCCTCATGGGAGTAATACCCTGAACGTGTAGCCTTCGTGGCAGATTATCCTATCAATGTGCTATCAATATTCGGCTGTGACCAAGAGCGGGTCTCCCAGAAACCTTCTGAGCAAACAAGAGGGGTGTCCCACGTCTCCCATGTCCAAAACAACTGCCCACTGGAACCAAAGGATGCATTTCTACCACATGATAATTTTAAGACTGCCTGAAATCTGGGTCAAACCATCTTTGGCTTTGGACCCAGAGCCCACCGTCTTGGCTTGGCTTTTGGCTTTAATTTAAAAGTGCAACAGAAGATTGAACCTTCCTTCCCCAGCATAATGCTCATAAACTCTTCCCTTTCCTTACAGGATAATATGGAATCATCTATTGGATGTTTATGCTGTGCCAAATCCGTTTTGCAATTTATCAAAATCTTCCCCTCCTTCGGTTTTTCTGTCTTATCCTCGGAGTGCCCCAACCCTCAGCACAGAGGGCAGGAGGGTAGCCCAGGCCTGCTGCTTTCTGACACTTCCCTTGTTTCATCACTTTGCAGCTGCCCTGACTGTTCACACCTTCACTTTTTCCTGCTTATTCTCCTCCCAAATATAAATTCTGCATGATTTTACAAACATTTACTATACGCTGCAATAAAAGAACTGATCCGATGTTTGCATCCATCAATCCACCCATCCATGGATCCATCTCAAATATTAATAGGCAAAGTAATCACCGATACAACTGGGTTGTTTATCTGCTAAGAAACGTGAATAGTAAACACACTATTTGGAAAAGAATTCCTAAAACAGGCACTCCGGTTTACTTTCTTGACATGGAAGTAAGTAGAAGCCCACCTTCTGATCAGGACAGAATGTCACACAACTCCTTTTTTTCTAAAACAAAAGAGGAATGAGAGCATGAACACATTTTTTTCAAGAGAAGGAAGTTGGCTTGTGTTAAGGGCCTCCCAAGTCATGCTGGAAAGGAGAAACCAAATGCGGGAGAGTCCCATTCTTGGAAATACACAATCCAGCTGTTGCTGGGTTCCCTAAGCTGTCCCATGGATCCCGTGGTCAGGCAAAAACAAGACATAAATCTAGCAGACATATCAACAAGGCCAGATATAATTTGAGTTTTAAAACTTAACAATGTGCTCTTTTCAATGAATAATCTAGGGCTGCTGCTCTGGATCTGAGCTCTTTCCCACTGTTCCAGTGGCTGATCTGCCCATCATAAGAGAGCTGGCATGGCAGGTATGGAGAGGAAGCTAAGTATGCCCGGTGGGTTTCATGCAAGATATTCTAAACTGAATTGCAACCAAGAACTTTTATTACTCAAGTAGCACATTAAATGACGAGGCAAAAGAGGCAGCTGGCCAAAAAAGCACTTACCAATGTTGATTTCATCATCTGTCAGAGTGTCCCCAATGAAGTCAAACTGGAAGGACTGGAGCGTCAAGGAGAATTTCTGGACGGCCAAGGAATAATCTGGGAAAGTTTTAAAGAGGAGAGTCTCACACACGCGTCTGCAAGAAGAGCACCTCAATTTGCAGAAACCTCATAGCTGAAGCAGAGCACGGATTCTGAACTTGCCCCCCCCCCCAGCTCCCCCAAGCACCACCGGCTTACAAAGGGGCAGCTGGCTTGCCTGCCTCGTCTTGGCTCCTCCCCTTCACCCACGGCCCCGCCCACGGCCCCGGCTGGCCCCTGCAACTTCCAAGGAACGCCCTGCGTGCAGCTCCTGCCTTCTGCCGGCCAAAAGTGCCTTTGGGGCCAACCAATGTTCTTGGAAATAAATCTTACACTGAAGGCTGGCGCTCTGTTTTATAGCAATGCAGCGTCTCAATATTTTTTTTTTTTTAATGAAAACAATCTGTAACGGAATCAGGATTCAGAGGCACCAGAGTAAATGTTTACCAACATGCTGCTCTCCATGGCTGTTAAACTGCCTTCACCAGTTTTAAAATAAACATGCAGAAGAGAGACTTTGTGTGCATTAAAAATAATTTCCATGCTGTGGTCAGCCTGCCTATGAGGGAGGGAGGGAGGGAGGGAGGGAGGGAGGAAGGAAGGAAGGAAGGAAGGAAAAGATTGGCAGGGCTGTTCTGGATTTTGCAGGACAGTTGTCCGACTCCATGGCCTTGCAAAACTGTTTAACAGCAAAGCCAGCAGGCCCTCAGCCATCTAAGAGCCTTTCCCCACCCTTGATCCCTTCACTGGAGATATTGTGCCTTATAAGCAAAATGTGCTCTTCTTGATTGTACATAAAGTATACTTGCATTCAAAACCACATTTTTCCCCAGTATGGTTTTTATCACCGACCCTGAACTTTCCCCCTTCATCTTCATGTTCAGCAATCAGATTTTCAAGCCATTAATTCGTCTTATTTATTCGTACTTATTTTTTTTTTGTATCCTGCCTTTTGCTACTCTTCATAAACAACTCAAAGAGGTAAACATAAGAATCTAGAGTCACAGGGCTGGAAGGACCCTTTATCGTCTCCGCACACTTTCCTGAATCTCAACACCGTTTTTGTGTCCTAATGACCAGAACTGGACTCGGTATATTCCACGCGTGGCCTCAGTATAAAGTGATATAATGTTCCCTTCTTGTAATCTTGACGTTTATCCCTTGCTCAATAATTGGTGATGGTTTTGATGCTTCCTCTTCCTCTGTTATTCTTCCCTCTCAGGGCAACTGAATCTGCAGGCAGCATAATTAGTTTACTTTTGGGTCACCATTTCTAAAAGTGTTTAAAAGCTCAGCTTCTTTTTCCTTTTGTTTGCATTCTGGAAGTTTAGAAAATACTTGTCTAACCAAAAGCAACTCAGACTTAAGCACCAAGAGAGGACAAGTGTTTCGATGAGCTCTCTAGAACTACGTATTTATCAGCATTGGTGGCCCATGGGTTGATTTGAAAGGCGGGCAGCAAAACTCCGAGGGGGGAAAAAACTCTTTAATTTCTGATTGCCATGCTGGGCTCATGGAGCAGAATCCAAAGAATTTAGGCCCTTTAGGCTCTTCAGCCTCTTTTGAAGGCCCACAAACCACAAAGAGGAAGCAAAGGGCCATAGGGGTGAGCTGTGGATAAACCCTACCCTGGAAATGCCATGGAGCCAGGCAGGAATTCGAGGTCTCCAGTCCAATAAACCTCTGCCTATTTGGGGTCAGGTGAGTGAAGGATCTACGGGAAAGGGGGAATAAAAGGACCTTGAGCAAGATCCTGCATAGCCAGGGGCAATATTAAGGGCAGTGGACCAAGAACATTACAGGGATTAAAGGAGGAATTAAAAGTGCAGCGTGAATGACACCATGTGTGTATCATTTACCCTTTCCACCCTCCCCACTGCTTCCTTATTTTAACCATACATCTACATTTTGAGGTAGGCGGAACTGTGACTCAGGGACTGGCCACACAAAGACATCTACAGATTTGCAAGAAAACAAGGACTCAAGATCTGGATGTCCCTTCATCTCCACCCTGACCCTGTCCGAGCTTCCTGTCAGTTCTTTCACACATCAAGTCTCTTCCCATGGCCAACAGCCACATTCTCAAATGTAAAAAGACTGCTTTTCTGAGCTTAAGGAGAATCGAATTTGCAGTGTTTTCAGCAGAAAGCATCCAGGAACTGGACAAGGGTGTGTCCAGGAAGAGCTGCGGAGCCCCAGGCGGGTTGCTCTGAAGAGGAGGAGGAGGAGGAGGAGGAGGAGGAGGAGGAGGAGGAGGAGGAGGAGGAGGAGGAGGAGGAGGAGGAGGAATAATAATAATAATAATAAAAAGGTAAGAGAGCAGGTGCTGAAGCCAACAGCCGCTCAACTCATCCTCAGACTGTCCCCAACAAGCTTCTACCGTTTTCTTTCACTTGTTCTGCTGGGCACAAAGGAGAAGAGTTCTCCAGAAAGCCCAACTAGAAGGCGGGGTTTTTTTCATCTTATTTTCTGAACCTTCAGACAGCCAATGCTTTTCCAAGGTTCTGGAAACAACTGGGCCGTTCTTCAGGTTTATTGTGTTTGACCACGGCATGAAGCGAGGTAAATGCGATGCAAGCGATAACGCATGGAGAACGGGGTTTGGTGAGCGTTCGACTCTTGTTTACTTCCTGGAATCCTTGCAGACCATTCTTTTCCTCAGAGGCTTCCTGGCTATGGGTCAAGCCACTAAGAAGGGCCTTTCGCTTGGTTTTTCACTCTCAGAGTTTGCTAGAAGTAACGTTTGCAGCTTCTGTGCCCAAAATTTCCTGCACAGTTGTAGGAGTCAAAAGCATGACAGCCCCATCTTTTGGCAAGACGGAGCTAAAACATGCCAGTGGACGACCTTTTGGCTTCTTATCCTTCTTGGCGTAAAATTAGAAATATCAGCTCGTATTAAGTATTCCGGTGCTCATCAGAAGACTAAAACATGGGTCTCCCTAATCCTAGCCCAACCTTTTGCACCATTTCTAGTTCAACTAGAAGGCACAAGTGTCCACTTCTGAACCTATTAGCTAAGGTGGCCATTCTCCATCTCATAATAGTTAGCCATCCCTTTCCATAAAGGGATATCACAATTCTTCCATTGACTACTTAAAGGGGAACTGTTCAAATGTCCCAATTCAGGTTTGCCCACCTGGCCCTGCATGCGCCTGCTATGAATACACCAAAAGGGAGAATAAGATCTTCTCAGCTGCCTTCGTCCAAGGAAGGCCAAGACCTGTCAAGGCCAGCCTGCAGTTTCAGCTTCAACTCCAAACTTTGTGGTAGTGGAAAGTGACAACACAGTGTGGAAGTCGTGCCAATGCCTACATCTTCTGCTCAACAGCAACTCTGCATCTGAAGATAAGCTCCTTTTCACTGTCCAACCCAAAAGATCTGGACACATTTTTGCTCAATGGCAGCCTTCCCCAACCTAGACATCTCTGGATGTATTAGGGATAGAGCTACTGGAGACCTCCTGGGGCCAGGCGTTGTTCCCCAGCATCTCTGCCCAACACTCAGGGAAGATTGAATATCTTAGGCATCTAAGTCCTTTGATTAGGCATTACAAGTAAAGTAATAACTAACAGTCAGCATGGGTTTGTTAAGAACAGATCATGCCAAACCAATCTTATTTCATTCTTCAACACAGTGACTAAATTAGTAGACCAGCAAAATACTGTGGATATAATATATTTAGATTTCAGCAAAGCATTCGATAAAGTAGACCACAACCTACTTCTTAGTAAGCTAGAAAAAAGTGGAATAGATAGCACCACCACTAGATGGACTCGCAACTGGCTGACAAACCGTACTCAACGAGTAGTCCTTAATGGGTCTAAGTCTACATGGAGGGAAGTAAGCAGTGGGGTGTCACAAGGTTCCGTCTTAGGCCCAGTACTCTTCAATATCTTCATTAACGACTTAGATGAGGGAATAGAAGGGGAATTTACCAAATTTGCAGATGATACTAAGCTGGCAGGAATAGCTAACACCCAAGAAGAAAGGCTCAAGATCCAGATGGATCTTGACAGTCTAGAACACTGGGCCGGATCTAAACAAAATGAAATTCAATGTAGAGAAAGGTAAAGTCCTACACTTAGGCAAGAAAAACCAAAAGTACACATATAGACTGGGTGAAACCAGGCTCAATAGCAGTAACTGTGAGAGGGATCTTGGAGTCTTAGTGGACAACCAGCTAAATAGGAGCCAGCAATGTGCAGCAGCAGCCAAAAAAGCTAATGCAATCCTAAGTTGTATTAACAGAGGGATACAATCAACATCAAGGGAAGTACTAATACCACTCTATAAAGCCTTAGTAAGACCACATTTAGAGTACTGCATCCAGTTTGGTTCACCACATTATAAAAAACATGTTGAGACTCTAGAAAAAGTACAGAGAACAGCAACCAGGAAGATTAGGGGACTGGAGGCTAAAACATACAATGAACGGTTGCAGGAACTGGGCTTGGCTAGTCTAGTAAAGAGAAGGACCAGGGGAGACATGATAGAGGGCTTCCAATATTTGAGGGGCTGCCACAGGGAGGAAGGGGTCAAGCTATTTTCTAAAGCGCTTGTAGGCCAAACAAGGAATAATGAATGGAAACTGAACAAGGAGAGATTCAACCTGGAAATAAGGAGAAACTTTCTGACAATGAGAGCAGTCAACTCCAGGAATAGAAGTTGCCCTTGGAAGTTGTGGGAGCGCCATCACTTGAGACTTTCAAGAAGAGATTGGACTGCCATTTGTCAGAAATGGTGTAGGGTCTCCCGCTTGGGCCGGGGGTTGGACTAGATGACCTACAAGGTCCCTTCCAACTCTGATTATCTGTTCATTAATCTGTTAAAAGTCCTTGATGTGCATCCATTCATTCTGCCTTATGATGAACACTTTTTCATTGATTTTTCTTTCTTCCCTATCTCCACATTACATCTAGTTCTTACTCAGAATATTAATTTCTGCAATGAGCTCCAAAATCTTCAGTCACATTATTAATAAATGCACATTTGCAAAGCGCTTTGCTGTAACCAATAAA